ACTTTAATATTATTTTTACGTGTTTTAGCTGGCAACACTCATTCGACCATGAAAGGGAGCCAGTATTTAAACGAGGCTTAATTTTCTAATTTTTAACAATACAATAGTGATGATTATTATTTTAAAAAATTTTTGTTAGGCTTAACATCAATGAAAATTCAACGCAAAGTAGGTTAATAGCGATATACTAATATACTAATTACATGGGATATAATAATATACTACACTAATAATGGATTTTTTCATACTTTTCGGTTATCCGACTTTTCAATTATCCGACCAACCCCAGTCCCCAATTGGGTTGGATAATCAAGGCTCTACTGTATATCAAAAACAGTAAAGATAACTAAAGTTAATTTTTAATTTTCTTTTTTGCAAAATTATAAATTAATTTAATAAGATCATTAAAATAAACATGATAACTTTTTCATTTTCTAATTAAATTTGAAAATTTAAACAAAAAGAATATCATAATTTTTCTCCATGTTCTACTGATTATTATTATATTACGTTGTTACGTTATCAGTGGTACACTCAGCATTTAATTTTGGGGAACCAAGTTGAATGAATGAAAAATTTTTAATGCAAATTTATGAATTCAATAAAATTCCACCTTATATGACCACTATTTGATGGAATGCATCATGTATGTACACCTGTACTGTTTTATTCGTTCTACAAGCAGTTTTTGCTTGAATAAATGGATAATTTTTAAATTGTTTTAAAAATTGAAAAAATTGGTTTGTAGATTAGTGTTTCCAAAACCTCTGAGGATTTATCTTTGCTAATTCTGTAAATATTCTGTTAAAATTTTTAATTTATATAAATGATACATATACTCATTTAAATGATTTTAAAACTAGAGAATGTGTTAACGAATTAAACAAATTTTTATTCTGTTTGATTTTAACTGAATGAATAACAGATTCTCCAATTTTGCCTTCAATTTTCTCAGAATAAAATTCTGAAAACTTAAAATTCATGAAATCCCATTAATATAATTTTATAAATCTAAATAGTTTTAAGTATATATTATGACATTAATAATTATTATAAGAACAACAACATAAAATTGATTTTTTGATAATATAACATGAAATACTAGTTTATGAGTTCTTAATGAACATTCCATATGCCAGAAAAATGTTAATTGCTAAGAATTTATTTATACTTAATTTAAAAAATAAAATTATATAACATACCATGTTTGCCTCTAATAACATCAAGATATTTACAAAGACGATCATGATTAAGAGTTTTTAATTTTTGAAAATGACCAAGAATTCGAATAGAATTGGGAGTTAACGGCAGACCATTTATTCCACAAATATCAACAGAATGTGGTGAAGCAAAAAATGTCCATGAACCTAATAACGCTTGTCCTAAATTCTTCATTTCCTTTAAAAAATAACATTAAAATTTGTTTAGCTTTTTATATCCCTAATAATACATTGTGTATTAAAATAACATTCAATTATAATTATTATATGATTTCTATGTAATCAAAATTACAAGTTATTAATAATTTTTAATAACTCATATAAGTTTAATTCATATTTTAAAAAAACATATACAGCAAGTCATTGTTACTTAACATTGTCAATAGGTTCTTGGAAACTGATATTAAATGAAAGTGTCATATGACAAAACCAATTTTACCATAGGCTAAATGACAAACAAAATATTATTCAGTTAATATTATTCTTATTGAATAATGTTTGCAATCTCCAGCAATAATTTCCCACCTCATAAAATCAATTTTACTATTTATAAAGAAAATTCAACAACCACAATAGTAAATGATTATATATGTAGTTGTATCTTTCCTCGACAACATTACAATGAAATGAGGTTGAGGACTTACTGTATGCATGTAAATTACAGTATGTAAAAAGAAAAAAAACAAAAAATCACAAATCACTCAAACAAGCATAAAAANATTTCATCGAACTTCAAACATTCCATCAACAGTGTATCCAATCATCGATCTTTGACTCAGTTATAAGGTATTTGTTCACACGCGAATTGTTTGTAAACTCAAAGTTTGAAGTTTAAATATTATTTGATTATTAATTTTCTTATAATTTTGTTTTCATATTGCTTTAGTCCATCTGAAAATTCAAAATGTATATTTTTGCAATCAAATAGACTTGAGTTATATATGATAAATATAATCTAATTATACCATAATTAGGGATGTCCTTATACCACAAAAATATTGATACCAGTATTGGTCTTAAAATATCAATACCAGCCAGTATTGGCATTGGGTATCGAAACTAGAAATCTTGCTGGATTTCATCGTTCAGTTTGTTGTGCCACCTTCCAGTTGTTTTTACTACTGAGAAGGTACACCTATCCTTCCTTTTGCACAGTGGATACATTCCATAATATACATTCCAGTGTAACATTATTTAGGATTTTTGTAAGAACCATATTATTTTAAAATCACATAAAAACGGACCATGTAAAAAGAGGGATAGGTGCACTGTACTTATTACAATGAAGGCTGAATGGACCCCAGAGCAGCAATTAACATTTTTTTGTTTACTCTAGAAAACTGAATCCTGGCTATCTAGTTCAAAAGTCAGTGCATCTGCCAGTACTTTAGTTTACACTCGTATCATGTCATAAAAGAAGCCCCAGATCTACAATCCTGCTAATGGGCCCTGTGGGTATTACTATACATGGAATATGGGTGGATAAGAAATCATTGGTTAAAAGGTAAAACAATGTTTTTACATTAAAAGTCCTTTATTGTATTCAGATTTAACAAATGCCAGTGCAAACAAAAATATACAAATTGTAGCTCATTTTAATCATCACTCAGGGTCCAAGTTGATTAACAAACAAAAGTACTGCATAATGTTTAAATAAATATTTATTTATAAATAGTAAGTAGAACTCTAAGCATATATAGATTCCATAAATGAAATTTGATGTAATACATTTATTAATTTTCAGACATTAATATTTTTATATAAGTTTAACTTAACTGAAAATAGTAAAATTCTATTTCAGTTCCTGTTCAGCTGCAAACTGTGGTTTTAGTCAGACCTTACCTGTCTGTGAAAAATGTAATGATACCAGATTACCATGGTAACCCATGGTAAAGTATCAAAACTGGTATTGTATTGGACCAAAAGTATTGAGTACAAAAGTATTTGGTATCAAAGGAAAGTATCGATACAGTATCAGTAGTATTGGGACGTATATCAGACACAGTATCAGCACCATAATATAAAATTTATATTAAAAAATTATAATCAATTTATTACTATTAGTAAAAAATCTGATTAAATTTTATCATAATATAGATTTCATAGATTAGTTCACCATGCTAAAATATTATCTAATTAAAGAACAAGATAACTACTGTCTATCAGCATTAAACAGTTTTTATTATAACATCATTGCAAGCACTTTCAACATATTATCAATATCATCTTCAGGCAAAGAAAAGAACGTAACTTAGGAACATTTGGAATGCCAATAGACAGTAGTTATCTCATTCTTTAATTGAATGTAGATTTCTTTAATGAAAATTAATGTGAGGGATGAACAGACCCTCAATAAAGTGTTATTTTAAATTTTAATTATTTGGGAATTCAATCGTCTAACTTCAATCATTTTATCAAAAGTTAGGCTAAAATCCAAACATCCATAAAAATTATTTCCCACGGATTTGGTTCCTTGTTGAGGATGATCCATATAGTCCTTAGTGTGTCACCTGGAACTTTTGATAAATTTCCAGTATTGGATGCCAGGCCCTTAACAACAGACTCATGACCTCATAGAAAAACCCAGAAGGAATCCAAATAACAAGGGAGAGCAATGACAAATCAAGTCAGTTGTCCTCCCAAGTTTGCCTCCTCAAGAGTTACAGTAGAGCCTCGATTATCTGACCTAATTGGGGACTGGGGTTGGTCGGATAATTGAAAAGTCGGATAACCGAAAAGTATGAAAAAATCTATTATTAGTGTAGTATATTATTATATCCCATGTAATTAGTATATCGCTATTAACCTACTTTGCGTTGAATTTTCATCGATGTTAAGCCTAACAAAAATTTTTTAAAATAATAATCATCGCTATTGTATCATTAAAAATTAGAAAGTTAAGCCTTGTTTAAATACTGGCTCCCTTTCATGGTCAATCCAGTGTTGCCAGCTAAAACACGTAAAAGTAATATTAAAGTAGCCAAGACATAGCCAAATATTGTAGCGCCACATCAATAGCGGACATTTGAAATTTGCCGACTAGGACGGTCGGTTGATAGGGGGTTGGATAATCAAGGCTCTACTGTATTACCATGCAAAATACCATGCCTCCGCCGACCTTATCTTAAGGATATCGTACACACCTAAGTGCCTCAACATAAGTTGGATACATCTCCCTGGAGCTGCTCCTGTTACCAGACACTCTAAATATCCAAAACAATTTCATCGAACTTCAAACATTCCATCAACAGTGTATCCAATCATCGATCTTTGACTCAGTTATAAGGTATTTGTTCACACGCGAATTGTTTGTAAACTCTCTCTCTTGCACCAGTTAAATTTAAGAAAATAGGGATATGCATAAATCCAAGATCGTATATCGTGTATTCCTGCCCGCTAAAATAAATTTGTTACTGTTTATTAATCTGGAATCTGAGTGAATCACTTCCTTGTTTCTCTCCTCACCTCTACTCCGAATCCAACCGCTTACTCGCGACCGCTCACATGACGTAAAGTCATGATTTCCGAGACCTGAGAGACTCGGTGGTGTCATCCTGATGCAGTGTCAAAGAGACACTGACCCTACAGTCACATTAATAATAATAAAATTTCAAATAATTTTACAATAATGTTATTTTACTTACAAATTATTGGAACATTTTTGGGTAAAATCAAAGAACGACATCTCAATTCAATAGAAGGAAAAGATTCTTTTATGATTTTTATTCTATGTGAATCATCTAATCCATGTTCTTTAAAAAATTCATGTTCTAGTAACTTAGAGGCATTTGGTCTAAGAAGAAAATAAAATAAACAGACATTAGAATAGCAAATAGTTTATTAATTATATTGATATTTGTTAACTTAGATTTATTACCTCTTTAGTGGATCTGTTGTTAGACAAGATTCTAAAAAAGATTTAAGAGTTGAAGGCATATTCTATAAGATAAATAAAATTTCAAAACTATATTATTATTATTATTTGAATTTTTTTTATATAAAAATGTGTTTACTTTATTAATTAAAAATAAAATAGTTGCATTTTTAAAATTACAAATAAAATTAATCTTAATATTTTAAAACATTTTCATGGAATATCAATATTTTTCCATCATTTTTTAATAATTTATTTTATCAGAAGTATTACTTCTTTCAATGCTACTGAGAAATTCTGAGAAATATAAATAATTTACAAATGGAGAAAACTTTTGTATTTTATTAACTTAGAAACTTCTATATAAAACGTTTTTATTTTATATAGAATAGATAAAACACCAAGCATAAGTTTTATTAATACTTTAATAAATTTAATAATGTAATCTTTTATAAAAATCTAAGTTTTAGTTAATCTGTAATAAAAATAAAAATAATAATCAAACTTATACAATTTTTAAAAATCTTTGCAAATTATTTAATATTTTTACAAAACTCTTCTAGTCATCTTTCTCTACATTACGGGTAAAAATTAAATTAAATAAACAATATTTCTGAAGAAATTAATTATAAAAATTTTAAAATTTTAGGAATCATTATAGATATTTTTATAAAAAATATTTATGCAGCTATGCTATTTATACTACATGTTTCAGCCAAGTGTTTTAACTTTCATTTACTTAATTTCACTTATGTTTTAACTTAGTATTTTTATTAACAGATATAGAAAAATTTAGAAAGATTGGATTTCCATATTTTTCTATATCATTAAAAGGGATATTATTGGAAAAAGGCTGTCACTTGTTCTTAAAAAATCATTGATTTAATGGGACAGTTTGATGTTAGATTTATTTGTAATTTTAATTTTTACTTATTTTACTTAACATTTTCTTACTTCTAGCTTTTGAATAACATCATGTTCTTTAGCTATTGTATATAAAACACTTTGACCAGAATCTGCAATAAATCAAAACATATATATAAAACTTGAAATAAAATCTAAAATCATTAGTAATTAAATAATAACAACATAATAAACTACAATATTTCACAAGTAAAGAAATAGATACAAACCTAGTTTAACTAATAATAAAATTTCTTGAAATATTTCATCTATAATACAATGTTCCCATAGTTCTTTACCCTTTAAAGTAATTAATATTTCTATAATTAATTGAATTAAATAGATTTGTAATTTATTATTCAAATTATAAATTATTAAAATAATTTATTTTAAATCATTAAAAAACATTAAACATACTAAAACTAATTCTAAAATTATAATTCCTAAAGACCAGATATCACTTTTTGGTCCTGATGGTAAAGGATATGGAAAAGAATAATCGCTTTTGCCTGGAACATCACCCATTAATGTTTCAGGAGCAAGATATTTAGGTATACTGAAATTAAGAAATAAGTAAAAAATCAAGAAAATAATTTAAAATTTTAAAATCTAAATTTAAAATTATGCATGATTTTACCCTATCGGAAATGACACACAAGCGCCACATTCAGTCATATAACGGTCGGTTGATAGGGGGTTGGATAATCAAGGCTCTACTGTATTACCATGCAAAATACCATGCCTCCGCCGACCTTATCTTAAGGATATCGTACACACCTAAGTGCCTCAACATAAGTTGGATACATCTCCCTGGAGCTGCTCCTGTTACCAGACACTCTAAATATCCAAAACAATTTCATCGAACTTCAAACATTCCATCAACAGTGTATCCAATCATCGATCTTTGACTCAGTTATAAGGTATTTGTTCACACGCGAATTGTTTGTAAACTCTCTCTCTTGCACCAGTTAAATTTAAGAAAATAGGGATATGCATAAATCCAAGATCGTATATCGTGTATTCCTGCCCGCTAAAATAAATTTGTTACTGTTTATTAATCTGGAATCTGAGTGAATCACTTCCTTGTTTCTCTCCTCACCTCTACTCCGAATCCAACCGCTTACTCGCGACCGCTCACATGACGTAAAGTCATGATTTCCGAGACCTGAGAGACTCGGTGGTGTCATCCTGATGCAGTGTCAAAGAGACACTGACCCTACAGTCACATTAATAATAATAAAATTTCAAATAATTTTACAATAATGTTATTTTACTTACAAATTATTGGAACATTTTTGGGTAAAATCAAAGAACGACATCTCAATTCAATAGAAGGAAAAGATTCTTTTATGATTTTTATTCTATGTGAATCATCTAATCCATGTTCTTTAAAAAATTCATGTTCTAGTAACTTAGAGGCATTTGGTCTAAGAAGAAAATAAAATAAACAGACATTAGAATAGCAAATAGTTTATTAATTATATTGATATTTGTTAACTTAGATTTATTACCTCTTTAGTGGATCTGTTGTTAGACAAGATTCTAAAAAAGATTTAAGAGTTGAAGGCATATTCTATAAGATAAATAAAATTTCAAAACTATATTATTATTATTATTTGAATTTTTTTTATATAAAAATGTGTTTACTTTATTAATTAAAAATAAAATAGTTGCATTTTTAAAATTACAAATAAAATTAATCTTAATATTTTAAAACATTTTCATGGAATATCAATATTTTTCCATCATTTTTTAATAATTTATTTTATCAGAAGTATTACTTCTTTCAATGCTACTGAGAAATTCTGAGAAATATAAATAATTTACAAATGGAGAAAACTTTTGTATTTTATTAACTTAGAAACTTCTATATAAAACGTTTTTATTTTATATAGAATAGATAAAACACCAAGCATAAGTTTTATTAATACTTTAATAAATTTAATAATGTAATCTTTTATAAAAATCTAAGTTTTAGTTAATCTGTAATAAAAATAAAAATAATAATCAAACTTATACAATTTTTAAAAATCTTTGCAAATTATTTAATATTTTTACAAAACTCTTCTAGTCATCTTTCTCTACATTACGGGTAAAAATTAAATTAAATAAACAATATTTCTGAAGAAATTAATTATAAAAATTTTAAAATTTTAGGAATCATTATAGATATTTTTATAAAAAATATTTATGCAGCTATGCTATTTATACTACATGTTTCAGCCAAGTGTTTTAACTTTCATTTACTTAATTTCACTTATGTTTTAACTTAGTATTTTTATTAACAGATATAGAAAAATTTAGAAAGATTGGATTTCCATATTTTTCTATATCATTAAAAGGGATATTATTGGAAAAAGGCTGTCACTTGTTCTTAAAAAATCATTGATTTAATGGGACAGTTTGATGTTAGATTTATTTGTAATTTTAATTTTTACTTATTTTACTTAACATTTTCTTACTTCTAGCTTTTGAATAACATCATGTTCTTTAGCTATTGTATATAAAACACTTTGACCAGAATCTGCAATAAATCAAAACATATATATAAAACTTGAAATAAAATCTAAAATCATTAGTAATTAAATAATAACAACATAATAAACTACAATATTTCACAAGNGCTGGCAACACTCATTCGACCATGAAAGGGAGCCAGTATTTAAACGAGGCTTAATTTTCTAATTTTTAACAATACAATAGTGATGATTATTATTTTAAAAAATTTTTGTTAGGCTTAACATCAATGAAAATTCAACGCAAAGTAGGTTAATAGCGATATACTAATATACTAATTACATGGGATATAATAATATACTACACTAATAATGGATTTTTTCATACTTTTCGGTTATCCGACTTTTCAATTATCCGACCAACCCCAGTCCCCAATTGGGTTGGATAATCAAGGCTCTACTGTATATCAAAAACAGTAAAGATAACTAAAGTTAATTTTTAATTTTCTTTTTTGCAAAATTATAAATTAATTTAATAAGATCATTAAAATAAACATGATAACTTTTTCATTTTCTAATTAAATTTGAAAATTTAAACAAAAAGAATATCATAATTTTTCTCCATGTTCTACTGATTATTATTATATTACGTTGTTACGTTATCAGTGGTACACTCAGCATTTAATTTTGGGGAACCAAGTTGAATGAATGAAAAATTTTTAATGCAAATTTATGAATTCAATAAAATTCCACCTTATATGACCACTATTTGATGGAATGCATCATGTATGTACACCTGTACTGTTTTATTCGTTCTACAAGCAGTTTTTGCTTGAATAAATGGATAATTTTTAAATTGTTTTAAAAATTGAAAAAATTGGTTTGTAGATTAGTGTTTCCAAAACCTCTGAGGATTTATCTTTGCTAATTCTGTAAATATTCTGTTAAAATTTTTAATTTATATAAATGATACATATACTCATTTAAATGATTTTAAAACTAGAGAATGTGTTAACGAATTAAACAAATTTTTATTCTGTTTGATTTTAACTGAATGAATAACAGATTCTCCAATTTTGCCTTCAATTTTCTCAGAATAAAATTCTGAAAACTTAAAATTCATGAAATCCCATTAATATAATTTTATAAATCTAAATAGTTTTAAGTATATATTATGACATTAATAATTATTATAAGAACAACAACATAAAATTGATTTTTTGATAATATAACATGAAATACTAGTTTATGAGTTCTTAATGAACATTCCATATGCCAGAAAAATGTTAATTGCTAAGAATTTATTTATACTTAATTTAAAAAATAAAATTATATAACATACCATGTTTGCCTCTAATAACATCAAGATATTTACAAAGACGATCATGATTAAGAGTTTTTAATTTTTGAAAATGACCAAGAATTCGAATAGAATTGGGAGTTAACGGCAGACCATTTATTCCACAAATATCAACAGAATGTGGTGAAGCAAAAAATGTCCATGAACCTAATAACGCTTGTCCTAAATTCTTCATTTCCTTTAAAAAATAACATTAAAATTTGTTTAGCTTTTTATATCCCTAATAATACATTGTGTATTAAAATAACATTCAATTATAATTATTATATGATTTCTATGTAATCAAAATTACAAGTTATTAATAATTTTTAATAACTCATATAAGTTTAATTCATATTTTAAAAAAACATATACAGCAAGTCATTGTTACTTAACATTGTCAATAGGTTCTTGGAAACTGATATTAAATGAAAGTGTCATATGACAAAACCAATTTTACCATAGGCTAAATGACAAACAAAATATTATTCAGTTAATATTATTCTTATTGAATAATGTTTGCAATCTCCAGCAATAATTTCCCACCTCATAAAATCAATTTTACTATTTATAAAGAAAATTCAACAACCACAATAGTAAATGATTATATATGTAGTTGTATCTTTCCTCGACAACATTACAATGAAATGAGGTTGAGGACTTACTGTATGCATGTAAATTACAGTATGTAAAAAGAAAAAAAACAAAAAATCACAAATCACTCAAACAAGCATAAAAACAAATACATATAAGCAATGAAATCATTTATAGAAACATAAGAAAATATTTTTAATATTTTATTATCTTATTTTATAAATAATCATTCATTTTGCTATTTTTTTTAATTCATAATTATAATAGTAGATTAATGGAGAATTTAATGGGAATTTAATGTTTGAGAACATCAAATTCAATTGATCTATGAAAGAATTTGAAGATACAGCAAGTTCATTATATTACATTATAAAAATTTAACATTTTTACATTTTATGTAAGTAATAATTTAAAGAAATATGCTATATCAATCTTCAATTTAATAATTAAAAAGTTTGAAAACATTCATGTTTAAGACTCTCAAATTAAAGAATATTTGAAAAATTTCTCAAATCATGATATGATTACAAAAATGCTCTTTTCATTATTGACAGTAAGTTGTAGATAAAAAAATTTTTAATAAATATTTTAACAAATAATCATAATCTAATGCATTAATTTAACTGTATTATCAATATTAATACTTGAATAAATGTATTGATAGAACAATACAAGACATAAGATCATTGATAATATATCCTTGATACAATTTTATTCTGAATTATTCAGAGGACAAAATTTTAGTACTAACAGATCTTTTAATACTGTATTCTAACTGTAAGTTACATATGATTAAGGTTACATCTTTCAGTTTTCTAAGTAAGGATAATGATGATAATACATGCACGAGAAGTTTGGGACAGCAATTTAACACACCGCAGTTGAATAAGTTTTCAGGGGATGTTTTATTCACCTCACAGAAAAGCTCTTTTCATAAGTTTCTATGTGATATGGCTGAAAGACACTAGGTAATATATACTAGATGCAATAACACTAAAAACACAAGATGTCAACATTATCTGCAACATCCTTTCATTTTTCCTATCCATTTTGCCATTAGGAAAGACATTTTATCACTAAAAGACAACGTTCTTTACCAAATAAGGGCAGACGGCAATACTACTTAAAATTGCATTAATATTTAACACAATAAAATGAAGAAATTTACTCAATAATGTTTAAAAGATGCAGTAAAGCTATTTTCACTTAAAAGATTTCATCAAAACATCCACGAGATATTTTAGAAAGTACAGAAAAAAGTAATATCGACGACTCGTTTAAGCGATAGATTTTTTTCCTTCGTCATTCAGAATTGCACCATTTAAGATTTTAAACAGCTTTCGTCCTTTATTAATATGTTATGTTCTGTATTAATATGTTATGTTCTGTATTATGTAAATGTGCATAAACATCTTTTAAAATTTCCTAAAATAAGTAAAGATATTATGCTTCATCCATGAAAGTTTAAGATAACTTTCAACAGATTTAAGTGTGTTTGGGTTGACAAATGTAAAAGGAAGAATAGTTCCTATAATATAAATGTTTTTCATCAGATTAACATATTTATAAAAATAATTTTAAGAAAAAATAATTCACTAAAATACTCTTGTGATACAAAATAAATGTGTAATATAAATTATAATTTAAAAAACTTAAATCATTATAAATACACATTAAAATAAAATCAATAAACATTCAAACTCAGTTGCTATAGACACCCACCTCCTCCTTGAAAATATATCAATATTTTTCGATTAATCATATATGTGTAATTCTTGAATTATTACGTTTTAATACGGTTTCTTTCTCTATAAAAAATATTTTTCGTCTTCATTTTTTCAAAGAGATATTATTTAGCATTTATTTACAATGCAGAATTCCTTGGAAGTGGCAACGTTAAGATTTTTCTCCGTGATCCGACTCTGCCATGATGTAATGATATTACGGCCATATTTTAAATTAATTAAATCAAAATTATTATTTCTATAAAAAATAGATTAGATATTGCGTAGTATCGTGAGAGGACATTGATGCTTTCTTTTTAAAATTCTGGTTACAAAATTTATATTTTTTCAGCCGTTAGAGGGAGTGCTACATCTAGAACGTCCATAATTAATAAGTTACAGTACTTGACATATTTAAAGTATTTTTCAATGGTGGCCACCTTACTGATCTACTTTGCATTCCAAATATCACTATAGGCAGCCTAATAACATACACCATCCCCAGTATAGCGACACTAACCAAGTCCCGAATGAATATCCTGGAGGCCATCCAGACACAATACCTCAAACTGAGCTTAGGCCTTCCCATTTCGACAATAAAATCTTACCCGTCGTGCTTCCAACAACCCGACTCTGATACGACGCTTTCACAAATACAGTATATAATAAAACAATACTGTACCTACTGCAAGAAAGCTTCAAAGGAAGTTCTCTTCCTTACCATTCTCCAAAATATCCGTAATAACTCCGGTACCACTCTTGTCAGGATACCTTTCATTTATTTTACTCATAACTGGCTCAACTTACATAGCCTACAGACTCTCAATCACTTCATTAATCAATACACTTAGGTCCAGTGACATCTCCATTTATATCCACATAGTGGACTTCCAGTTTCGAGACACCACTCTACCTAACGCTTTTATCGTTCAGTACAATCCTTTCACGAATGGACAACCCAGCAAGGTACTACTACCATTGTGACCACGAATGAGTCAAAAAACTCTAATAACGTGACGGCGACATATATAGACATCGCACGGCATACCTGGGCTCACTTCATCCTCCACCAAGAAACCACGATCACCGTAGAGAACTTCGCAATTCTACTGGTAAACCCGATGTCATTATATGTACTGATTCGAAGTCCATCCTAACAGCCCTGAATACCCACTACGACAAATCCTTTACCATAAACAGAAAACACATGAACCATGAATTATTCCAAAAAACACTCAATTTTTTTTGGTTCGCTAACGCTCCCGGCATCACTATTTCCAAAACAAAAGACCGCCGTAACACGATCCTGATCAATCGCGCTAGAACCAATTCCTTTTGTTAACTAAGCATTTTCTGCATATACGTAAACTCAGCACCACAGACCGCTGTAAATACTGAACTGTACAAACCAAAAGGATACTACTATCCATCACTTTGACGATTGCACGAAATATGACAATATAAGAAGGAAAATCTTATCTAACAGCAGCCTAATAAGTAACCATCTCCACAAAATTAGCGATTGCCAGAAAATAACTCCTACCGACATATGCCTACAGACAGGGCCTAATTACATTTAGATAGCTGGATGGCCGAGCGGTCAAGGCGGCATAACGTAAGCTGTTGCGATGTCGTTACGTCAGAAAATAAACGTACCTAACAGAAAAGCTAACATTTGGGACCAAAAAAACGTTGTTTACAAATTTGAATGCAACTGTACCACACCCAAATCTTACATTGGTGAAACTAGTAGGGAATTAAAGGTCCGTTTCAATGAACATATCTCTGCCATAGCACACAACAATGATAGCTCAGCTGTAGCTGCCCACTGTAATAATAAAGGTTGTCAGATTGTAAAGGATACTGTCAAAATACTTAAAAAGGAACAAAATACTTATAAAAGAAGATGGTACGAACACTTAGAAATAATAAAAAACAAAGAGAAAATCATGAATAAGAACTCCGGCCAAAAATTACACGAATCGTGGTACGCATATTTGACCTAGGAGGCGTGGGGGGAGGGGAGAGGTGTGAAAACTATCTAGCGCCTTAGTGAAAACGGATAGGGGTGAGGGTGACGGTTACCCTGGAATGTACTTCGAATCGTCTTGTTACTCTGTTCGTGTTACTGTGAACCTACTTATTATTTTGTTTTAACAATGTATATTTTCACGACTTTACTAATGTATTTTTTACGACTTTACTGTTTTACCAGAATCTCAGTTTATTATTATGTTATTGTATCAACATTACCGGTTTTAATGTGAGGCTCCNAAGTTGGATACATCTCCCTGGAGCTGCTCCTGTTACCAGACACTCTAAATATCCAAAACAATTTCATCGAACTTCAAACATTCCATCAACAGTGTATCCAATCATCGATCTTTGACTCAGTTATAAGGTATTTGTTCACACGCGAATTGTTTGTAAACTCTCTCTCTTGCACCAGTTAAATTTAAGAAAATAGGGATATGCATAAATCCAAGATCATATATCGTGTATTCCTGCCCGCTAAAATAAATTTGTTACTGTTTATTAATCTGGAATCTGAGTGAATCACTTCCTTGTTTCTCTCCTCACCTCTACTCCGAATCCAACCGCTTACTCGCGACCGCTCACATGACGTAAAGTCATGATTTCCGAGACCTGAGAGACTCGGTGGTGTCATCCTGATGCAGTGTCAAAGAGACACTGACCCTACAGTCACATTAATAATAATAAAATTTCAAATAATTTTACAATAATGTTATTTTACTTACAAATTATTGGAACATTTTTGGGTAAAATCAAAGAACGACATCTCAATTCAATAGAAGGAAAAGATTCTTTTATGATTTTTATTCTATGTGAATCATCTAATCCATGTTCTTTAAAAAATTCATGTTCTAGTAACTTAGAGGCATTTGGTCTAAGAAGAAAATAAAATAAACAGACATTAGAATAGCAAATAGTTTATTAATTATATTGATATTTGTTAACTTAGATTTATTACCTCTTTAGTGGATCTGTTGTTAGACAAGATTCTAAAAAAGATTTAAGAGTTGAAGGCATATTCTATAAGATAAATAAAATTTCAAAACTATATTATTATTATTATTTGAATTTTTTTTATATAAAAATGTGTTTACTTTATTAATTAAAAATAAAATAGTTGCATTTTTAAAATTACAAATAAAATTAATCTTAATATTTTAAAACATTTTCATGGAATATCAATATTTTTCCATCATTTTTTAATAATTTATTTTATCAGAAGTATTACTTCTTTCAATGCTACTGAGAAATTCTGAGAAATATAAATAATTTACAAATGGAGAAAACTTTTGTATTTTATTAACTTAGAAACTTCTATATAAAACGTTTTTATTTTATATAGAATAGATAAAACACCAAGCATAAGTTTTATTAATACTTTAATAAATTTAATAATGTAATCTTTTATAAAAATCTAAGTTTTAGTTAATCTGTAATAAAAATAAAAATAATAATCAAACTTATACAATTTTTAAAAATCTTTGCAAATTATTTAATATTTTTACAAAACTCTTCTAGTCATCTTTCTCTACATTACGGGTAAAAATTAAATTAAATAAACAATATTTCTGAAGAAATTAATTATAAAAATTTTAAAATTTTAGGAATCATTATAGATATTTTTATAAAAAATATTTATGCAGCTATGCTATTTATACTACATGTTTCAGCCAAGTGTTTTAACTTTCATTTACTTAATTTCACTTATGTTTTAACTTAGTATTTTTATTAACAGATATAGAAAAATTTAGAAAGATTGGATTTCCATATTTTTCTATATCATTAAAAGGGATATTATTGGAAAAAGGCTGTCACTTGTTCTTAAAAAATCATTGATTTAATGGGACAGTTTGATGTTAGATTTATTTGTAATTTTAATTTTTACTTATTTTACTTAACATTTTCTTACTTCTAGCTTTTGAATAACATCATGTTCTTTAGCTATTGTATATAAAACACTTTGACCAGAATCTGCAATAAATCAAAACATATATATAAAACTTGAAATAAAATCTAAAATCATTAGTAATTAAATAATAACAACATAATAAACTACAATATTTCACAAGTAAAGAAATAGATACAAACCTAGTTTAACTAATAATAAAATTTCTTGAAATATTTCATCTATAATACAATGTTCCCATAGTTCTTTACCCTTTAAAGTAATTAATATTTCTATAATTAATTGAATTAAATAGATTTGTAATTTATTATTCAAATTATAAATTATTAAAATAATTTATTTTAAATCATTAAAAAACATTAAACATACTAAAACTAATTCTAAAATTATAATTCCTAAAGACCAGATATCACTTTTTGGTCCTGATGGTAAAGGATATGGAAAAGAATAATCGCTTTTGCCTGGAACATCACCCATTAATGTTTCAGGAGCAAGATATTTAGGTATACTGAAATTAAGAAATAAGTAAAAAATCAAGAAAATAATTTAAAATTTTAAAATCTAAATTTAAAATTATGCATGATTTTACCCTATCGGAAATGACACACAAGCGCCACATTCAGTCATATAATATAAACCATAATTTGCTAGCTTCACATGATTCTGAAAATAATGTTTTTGAATTTAAAAAATAATTTTAACATAATTATTATTAATCATTTTTTTATTATTACCTCACTATCAAGTAAAATACAATTAGGAGAAAGACATCGATGAATTAGATTACTTTTGTGAAGAAATTCTAAAGCATCTAAAGTCTCAAAGGTTAATAATGCTAAATCTGATATATTTCTACAAAAGAATAAAATAAATAAGTGATTTTTTTTCATAAAATTGTTTATTATATTATTTAGTTATTTTATTATTTTAATATAGGATTAAAGTATTATAAAAAAACTTACTCTTCTAATATTTTTCTGTTTTCTTTTTGTTGTATATTTTTCAAATAATACTCACTTACAATCATTAATCGTTCTGTCAAACAAAAGATGAACTTAAGAATAAAACTTTTTTACAAAATAATAACTTATTTTTTGCTATAATTAAAAATATGGATAAACCATATTTAATAATTTGAAAGATACTTTTTTGTCAATAAATGAGTGCAGTTAAAAATTATCTAAGTACGAAACATATTTTAAATCTCAACTAGAAAATGAGTTTTAAGGTACAGTAGAGACTCGATTATCCGTCCTCCGATTAACCAACATCTCGGTTAACCAACCATTCTAGTCGGCAAATTTCAAATGCCCGCTAGTGATGTGGCGCTACAATATTTGGCTATGTCTTGGTTACTTTAATATTATTTTTACGTGTTTTAGCTGGCAAAACTCATTCGACCACGAAAGGGAGCCAGTATTTAAACAAGGCTTAATTTTCTAATTTTTAACAATACAATAGTGATGATTATTATTTTAAAAAATTTTTGCTAGGCTTAACATCAATGAAAATTCAACGCAAAGTAGGTTAATAGCGATATACTAATATACTAATTACATGGGATATAATAATATACTACACTAATAATGGATTTTTTCATACTTTTCGGTTATCCGACTTTTCAATTATCCGACCAACCCCAGTCCCCAATTAGGGCGGATAATCGAGGCTCTACT